GGCATAAGCTACTGTGCCAAGCTCCTGAGTACTTTTTGAATGTTGATTTTCCTTAGGGTTCTTGTTTTAAGTCATCTTCTCATGACCTTTTTCACCTTTTATTTTGGGCAGTATTTGTACCTACTCTGATCTCCTGCTCTCTAGACCTAGCTATTTGCCTACTGGCAACTGCACCTGTATTTTCCATATGCATCTCAAGTTAAGAGTGCTTCAGGATGAGCTTATCATGCTCATCAAACCTGTTGCATTGCATTAATGGTACCAGTAACCTTCTAGTTGCCTTAGTCACTGACTCTGGAGTCACCCTGTATCCTTTCCTCTCCCTGCATAACTAATCAGTTGCCAAGTCTTGATGCTGTTTTTTTATTTTTTATTTCTAATTTTTCTTTTTTTGAGTTGGAGTCTCACTCTGTCACCCAAACTGGAGTGCAGTGGCTGCTCCCGGCCACCGCAGCCTCGACCTGCTGGGCTCCAGTGATCCTTCCGCCTCAGCCTTCCAAGTAGCAGGAATTATAGACATGCGCTACTACACCCAGCTAATTTTTTGATTTATTGTAGAGATGAGGTCTCACCTGCCCAGGCAGGTCTTGAACCCGCGGGCTCAGGCGATCCACTCACCTCGGCCTCCCAAAGGTGCGGTATTATAGGCTGAGCCACCGAGCCCGGCTTTATTTCTAATTTTTATTTTTGAGGTGGAGTTTCACTCTGTCGCCCAGGCTAGAGTCCAGTGGCACACTCACAGCCACCACAGCAACTTGCTGGGCTTAGGCAATCCTTCCGCCTCAGCCTTCCAAGTAGCTGGAACTACAGGCACATGCCACCACGCCTGGCTAATTTTTTTGATTTATTATAGAGGTGAGGTCTTGCCATGTTGCCTAGGCTGGTCTCGAACCTGTAGGCTCAAGCAGTCCTCTCCCCTTGGCCTCCCAAAGTGCTGGGATTATAGGCTTGAGCTACTGCACCCGGCTGATGCTGTTTTTTTGTTTTTTAAGTTTTTTTGTTTTTGTTTTTTTTAATAAAGATGTGGGGTACAATTCAGGGTTAGGTATACAAACGTTGATTATGCAGGTGCCCTTGCTGATGCTGTTTTTTAATTATCTCTTTAATCTGTCTTGTCCTTTCCACCGCCTTCCCTGCTCTGGCTAGTCTCTTGTCTTAGATACACACTGTTGTAACCATCTTCTTGCTCGTTTCCCTTCTCCAGCTTTGTTCTCTTCTATCTTCTACTCTGTTGCCCAAATGATCTTTTTTAGGTGCTCTCAGAGTCTTCAGTGGCTCCTTATCTTCTGTAGAATAAAACCTAAGCACTTAACGTAGAATGTCCTTCTCTACCTGGTTCCCACCTTACCATACTGTGTCATTTCCTTTCACTCATCCTAAGTACTTTGTATACTCTAGTGAGCAAAACACTAGGCATGGACCACTCTCTTCTCAATGGAGGAATAATAGTAGTCAACACTTATTGGGGACTAAGTATGTGCAGACATCCTCCTCTGAGTAGCCTTTCTTGTTTTCTTCTTTCTTTTCTTTATTTCCATTTGACAAGGTCTTACACTGTCACCCATGCTGTGAAGTGCAGTGGCACAGACATAGCTCACTGCAGGCTCGGATTCCTGGCCTCAAGTGATCCTCCCCTTTGACCCTCCCAAAGTGCTTGGATTGCACGTGTGACCCACCACATTTAACTCATTCTTTATGTTCCCTTACCATGCATTATAGCTGTTCACATTTTGTTGTATACTTGGCCTGTCTCTAGACATACCAGATCATTGAAGAGCCTTTAATAATTTCTTCATCTTTGTATTCTCAGAACCTAGAACTGATTAGGAACCCAGTGAGTTATTGCTGATGAATGAATCATTTTGATGACTCTTACTAGCCATTCTCTCCCCTCACTCCTTAAGATTCTCATGCAGTTCTCTTTTTTGCTTGATGCTGAGACCTTACTCGCATCAATGTGCTCTGATACTCTATATTGTATTTGCCATTTCAAAATTTACTTTTGGTAAACAGTCCTTTAAATAACAGAACTATTTTAAGTAAGAAATTTGGTTTTTCCTATTGTCCAGAGTGCTGTTACAAAATATCTTGCAGGCGTATTAACCTTTTTAGAATCCCAGGAGTGCCTTGGTATTCTAAAGCAAAGAATGAAATTAGGCATTGATAAAATGTAAACTAAATCTCCCAGAGCTTTAAATGAACCAGCTTTTATTTAGATGAACTTGTCGCTGCTATTACCTGGTGATTTTAGCATGTATGTAGAAATTGAGCTGAACTTTTTCTGACTCTTGAGTTACAGAATTTATTTTCTAAAGATACTAGTTACTTTCTAAATCATTCTGCTTTAAAAATTTTGGTATATTTGTGAGTGTTTATATTTAGGAAAAGCCAGATGTCATTGGGAAATATTTCTGATCAGGAGGGTAGAACAGTGCTTTGTCAAATACTAGACCTGACTTCTATGACTCTTACTTATTTTCTTTTCTTTTTGCCTTTAAAAGGGAAAGTGCTCTAGCAAGTGCTGATTTAGAAGAAGAAATTCACCAGAAACAAGGGCAGAAAGGGAAAAATTCTCAGTCTGGTATTAAAGTAGCAGACAGAAAAGGACTTGATAATAAAGATGACACAGTTGTAAGTCAAAGAAAGAAAATTCCAGTCAACCAAGAAGAAGAGAGATTAAAAAATGAGAGAACTGTGTTTGTTGGGAATTTGCCTGTCACATGTAATAAGAAGGTGAGTTTGTAGTTTGTATATTGTAAAAATTCAGAGAAGTTAATAGGAACTTTATTTACTCTAATTGTATTTAATAAGCACATAATAAGTCACTGATATTGTTATGTACTCATTGTAATTGAGTACATAAATCATTCTACTGTAGGTGGATTCCAATAGTACCCCCTCCTTTCCATACCTGTAGTCACTGCCCTAATTCAGACTTTTGTGGATCATATTTTAGCTATTGAAATGACCTCCTGGCCGAGCTCGGTGGCTCAGCCTGAAATCCCAGCACTTTGGGAGGCCAAGGTGAGTGGATTGCCTGAGCCCAAGGGTTCGAGAGCCGCCTGGACAACTTGGCGAGACCTCATCTCTACAATAAATAAAAATCAGCTGGGCGTGGTAGCGCACGCCTGTAGTTCCAGGTACTTGGAAGGCTGAGGCGGAAGGATGGCCGGAGCCCAGCCGGTCGAGCCTGCGGTGGCTGGGAGCAGCCACTGCACTCCAGTCTGGGTGACAGAGTGAGACTCCAACTCAAAAAAAAGAAATGACCTCCTGTCTCTTTTCTTTCTTTCAGCCATATATTTTATTATATGCCACTAGAATGTAAGCTCCATGTGTCTAGGGATATTTCTCTCTTTTCTTCACTACTGTATCCCTAACACCTGAAATGGTACCTTGCACTTAGTAGTGACTCAGTAAACATTTCTTGTATGAAGGAATGAATATACCCTAAGTTTCTTCCATTATATGGAGTTCATTCAACCGAAAACATGCCCTTTGCTTTCTCTGTGTCCATGTGGTCATCATTCTTGGCAATCTTTTTTTTTTTTTGAGTTGGAGTCTCACTCTGTTACCCAAGCTGGACTGCAGTGGCACATTCATGGCCACTGCAGCCTTGACCTGCTGGGCTCAGGCAATCCTTCCGCCTCAGTCTTCCAAGCAGCTGGAACTACAGGCATGGACCACCACGCCCAGCTAATTTTTTCATTTATTGTAGAGATGAAGTCTCACCAATGTTTCCTGGGCTGGTCTCGAACCCACAGGCTCAGGCAATCTTCTCACCTCTGCCTCCTAAAGTGCTAGGATTACAGGCTTAAGCCACTACTCCTGGCTGTTCTTGGCAATTTTGGGGTTAAATCCTACTCATCTTTTGAAGGACAATGTAGAATCTACTTCCTTAAAAACAAAACAGTACAGAAAACTTTTTGATTTTTTTTTTCTTTGTCACTTGCCCTAGCATTGGATTTGTGATTATTTTGTAGGACATAATACATTATACTTTGTAGCATAGTTTTGGTTATTGATCCATCTATTAGATTATAAGGGGTTCAACGGAGGAGAGTGTGTATAGTGATTTGCACAAATACTAGCCATTTAATAAATTATTTTATTTACTTAATTTTTTTTTGAGTCAGGGTCTCACTCTGTCACACATCCTGGAGTGCAGTGGCACAATTATGGCGCACTGCAGCCTCCAACTTCTGGTCTCAAGTGATCCTCTTGCCTTAGCCTTCTGAGTAGCTGACAGGAATATGCCACCGTGCCCGGCTAATTTTTAATTTTTTTTAATAGAGATGAGGTCTCACTTTATTGCCCAGGCTGATCTTGAATTCCTGTGCTCAAGCGATCCTGCCACCTCAGCTCCACACAGTGCTGGGATTATAGGCATGAGCCACTGCACCCAACCAATAAATTATTTAAAAATTAGAATTGGTAGGCCGGGTGCAGTGGCTCACATCTATAATCCCAGGACTTTGGGAGGCTGAGATGAGAGGATTACCTGAGTCCACGGGTCCGAGACCAGCCTTGGCAACTTGACGAGTCCTCATCTCTACAACAAGTCAAAATATTAGCTGGGCATGGTGGCATGTGCCTGTAGTTCCAGCTACTTGGCAGGCCAAGGCAGAAGGATCACCTAAGCTCAGCAAGTTGAGGCTGTGGTGGCCATGAGCGTACCATTGCACTCCAGCCTGGGAGATGGAGTGAGACTCCAACTCAAAAGAAAAGAATATTTGGGTTAGTTATAGAAATTATTGACCTATTGGGAGACCACTTGAGCCCAGGACTTCAAGGCTACAGTGAGTGATGATTGAGTCTGAATAGCCTCTGTATTCCAACCTGGGCAAGATAGCGAGACCTCATCGTTTTGTTTTTTCAATTATCCTGGCCAGGCTCAGTGGCTTAGCCTGTAACCCCAGAACATTTTTGTTTTCTTTCTTTTTTTTTTGAGTTGGAGTCTCACTCTGTCGCTCAGACAGGAGTGCAGTGGCCGCTCCCGGCCTCCGCAGCCTCGACCTGCTGGGCTCTGCGATCCTTCTGCCTCAGCCTTCCGAGTAGCTGGAATTACAGGCACGCGCTACCACGCCCGGCTAATATTTTGATTTATTGTAGAGATGAGGTCTCGCCAAGTTGCCTAGGCAGGTTTCGAACCCGTGGGCTCAGGCAGTCCACTCACCTCGGCCTCCCAAAGCACGGGATTACAGGCTGAGCAGAGCCCGGCCAATCCCAGAACTTTGAGAGGCCGAAGTGACTGAATTGCCTGAGCCCGGGGGTTCAAGATCAGCCCAGGCAACTTGGCGAGACCTCATCTCTACAATAAAAATGTTTTAAAATTAGCTGGGCGTGGCAGCATGCACCTGTAGTTCCGGCTACTTGAAAGGCTGAGGTGGAAGGATCACCAGAGACCAGCAGGTCGAAGCTGGGGTGGCCATGAGTGTGCCACTGCACTCCAGCCTGTGCCATGGAGTAAGATTCCAATTAAAGCTGGGCTCGGTGTCTCAACCTGTAATCCCAGCACTTTGGGAGACTGAGGCAAGTGGATTGCCTGAGCCTGTGGGTTTGAGACCATCCTAGGCAACTTGGTGAGACCTCGTCTCTACAATAAATCAAAAACTAGCTGGGCGTAGTAGCGCACGCATGTAGTTCCAACTACTTGGAAGTTTGAGGCGGAAGGATTCTTGGAGCCCTGCAGGTCGAGGCTGCGGTGGCCGGGAGTGTGCCACCGCCCTCCAACCTGGGTGACAGAGTGAGACTCCGACTCAAAAAAAAAAGATTCCAATAAAAAAAAAAAGTTATTCTGCCTGGGCAACTTGACGAGACTTCATCTCTACAATAAATCAAAAATTAGCCGGGCGTGGTAGTGCACACCTGTAGTTCCACCCACTTGGACGGCTGAGGCGGAAGGCTCGCCGGAGCCCAGCAGGTCGAGGCTGCGGAGGCCGGTTGCGTCCACTGCACTCCAGTCTGGGCGACAGAGTGAGACTCCAACTCAAAAAAAAACATTATTGTTCTACCTATAATATATACATTCTTCACATCCTGAGCCATTCATA